GGTTCTTGCATAGTTAAGTATTGTGAGTTCTACTCAAAATTTCCGAGCGCGATTCGTTGAATCGCGACGGAGAAATCACGCCACGAATGAAACTTCCTGTGAAAACCTATAATATGATGTGTAAGGGTTTCTGAGCGCATCCAAACGCCAAATGGTCGATCACGCCACAGGGGAGTTCACGCCGACGCAGTCACCCAGTGAAGCAGCTTCCTGGTGTCACTCCGTTTCATCTCAATCACCCTTACGCAGAGCTCTCCAAGAAAGCCCAGGCATTGTCCAAACTCCTGCACAGCCAGTTGTGCACAACCGAGTGTCGCCATATCCGCTGCGCGTTCGTACTGCAGCTCATCGCGTCGAAAGTCAGACCCCGTCGGTGCAACCCTACCCGAGGTGATAGTACCCGTAAAGACAATGGTAGACAGTGTTCGGATGGGCATGTTGTCGTGTGGCTGCAGCCTCCATGATGCAAAATGCTCCCCCACACCAAGACCAAAATGATTTGCCGAAAAATGTGTTTGTTTTGACCAATAACTGTCCTGGATTCATTTGAGAATCATTTCAATTCAGTGGGCTGAATGGTGCTGTTTCAGCAAATTTGGGCCGAATTCACAATACTAGAATAGTGGAATGTCTAGCGCTTGGGTCCCAGTGGTCAATCACTGAAATGCACGGAAACAATTACTAGTACGTAGTATACGTATTTTTTTCCCACTGGGGTTTGGACGGAGTCCTAGCTTCCAGGTCTGCACGGTGTGTGTCATATCTGTGATAAGAACTGGGTTCTCCGGACGATTATCCGTTAATACTGCAATCCCTGAGAACAGGTGTAGTTTTCGACCTCCAGCAGGTGTAACCAGCTGCTGCCGGCGCGATTTCCTCATGGTCTCTACTATTAATACTACTACTATTAGTAGTAGTAACATTACTTACTGTAGGTCATTACTTTCGGAACTTGCATAAAATAAACATAACACGAGTTTACCGTAGGTTGAATTGTTTAACGTAAGTATATTGGAAGCTCGACGTATGTGGCCAGGAGCGGCCAGGAGCGGTTATAGTTTCCACACTGTTTCAACGTCTTTGGTTAAAACGTTTTTGGTCTGAAGGTGGCACACTTGTGTCGTTGCCTCGGAAAAGTTGTCAGTCTCTCTCTCTCTCACTCGCGATGCGGTTCCTCTTTGCCGTTCTTGGCGCTTTCCAATGTATCCTCGCTGCTTCTTCTCCCTCCTCACCCCAGTTCCACCTCAGCCTTGTGGGCGACGGCAGTGGGGACTACATGCTAGACTGGGTCACCAGTGTCGACGAGAAGTCCTCGACCGTGTTTTTCGGTGCTTCCAACGATAGCTTGGCAAACAAAGCCGATGGAACGTCCTCGGGCAACGTCGTGGTGACGCCATCGCTGTCGGTGCAGTGCTGGCATGCTCGGCTGTCAGGGCTAGGCGCGGCAGGCTCCACCGTCCACTACGACCTCTCGTCAACTGGCACGACCTCCAAGTCGTTTGTCGTGTCTGGGCCATCTATGACGTGGGCCATCTTTGGCGACATGGGGTCGATTGCAATGAAGAAAGCGTCGGGGATCACCTTGCCTGCGTTGACATCGGATCTCGCGGCAAAGTCATATCAGGGCATCCTGAATCTCGGCGATTTGGCGTACGAGTTGGTCGAAACCAACGGAGATGTGTACATGCAGCAGCTGGAGCCGCTGACGTCTGTCGTGCCCATGCACACCACCATCGGCAACGTACGTTCCTCCATTATTACCGCCACACTATTCAATCCATCGCACAAACACAAGTGTACCCAGGCACTGTGTTTAACACTGATTTTTATAGTATATACATCATTTGATTTTCGTTGTCTGCGTGGCTACATACTCACATACTACGTAGATATTTGTTGGTTAATATTTCTGTGCAGCGAATATATATATATATATATCACTTATGTTTCGTCTAGCTACGCCGGATATATAGATTGACATGTATTCTCGTTGTTATAGCATGAAATGCAATACGCCATGTTTGGAGCGCTCCCCAACTACATTCGTCGGTTCGCGGGGCTAGCCGCGGGCGCCGGGCGGGCGAGCGGCTCGTCGTCGAACCGTTTCTACAGCTTCAACGCGGGCTATGTGCACTTTGTTGTGATTGACACGGAAGTGTATGGGGACCAGTCGTTCATGACGCCTGGCACGGACGGCTTCTGGTCATCATCCGAGACGGCGCGGGGTCAGATGCAGGAAACCCAGCGGAGTTGGCTCGAGTACGACCTGAGCCGAGTGAAGCGAAAGGTCACGCCGTTCGTCGTAGTGTGCGGTCATCGTCCACCGAGTAAAATTCCCAACGCAATCACCAAGCCAGGCAACCAGTTTGCCGCCCAACTGCTGCCGCTCCTGGATATGTACAGCGTCGACTTGATGTTCTTTGGCCACGAACATGCGTACTACAGCATCGAACCGACCGTGGTCGGCAAGTACAACGTGCCGCCGTGGATCATCTCGGGCGCGGCAGGCAACAACGAATTAATTCGACCCGTGTCGAAGGTATCGATGGATCCCGTGTTTAAAGTGAGGAAAAACATCAACGAATATGGCTACGGGTACCTCAAAGCGACGGCGGACAAGCTCGTGTGGACATGGGGGCAGGCGGCAACTAGCTCCCCGAATGGCGAGTCCCCCACCAGCACCAGTTGGACCGCAGCCGATTCGGTGGAGTTCTTGAAAAAGGACATTGCCGACCCCACACCGACGGGAAAGCCAGTCATGGTGCCCGAGACTGCTCCGACCAACAATGTCACCATCGCCGCCGCTGGTATGGGAGAGTTTGCTACAGGGACTAGGGTTTTTTATTATTGTAGTAGCGCTCATCAATGTGGTTTTGAGCGTAGGAAGTGCCGCCCCGGCTGCTTCGCCTGAAAGTTCCAAGAATACACAGGCAGGCCCTTCCGGTCAGTCTGGCTCCACGTCAGTCTCGCCAACCCAGAGTAATTCTGGCGGGACGAGCCTGGTATCGAACGCGATAGCTATGGTGATGGTGGTCGTGGCAATTGCCTTGGGAAGCGCTTAACCAGGGCTGGCTTATTTTGTCACAAATATGTAGAATCTTCGTATATAATATACCCAAAGATGGACCCGTGGCTTGTTGTAGTATCGGGTAAAGTTGTTGACCGTCTAGTAAATCACTCGGTATCGGAAGGAATACTTGATACTACGGGGCCATGAAGGGTGAAATAAACGGCTGCAAATGAACTGCCACTCACCTGTTCAAGTGCCAGAATAAACGTGAGAGATTGCATGGATACAATCAAGAGCCGACGCTCCAGCACGCTAATTGGTGACCCCCTTCGCCACCACGACCAACCAGCGTGTTTGACCAAGAGGGGGCCCCATCGTGTCCTCGTCCACGGTCATTCGAGTGGTCAACTTTGGCGTCGTTGGGGGTTTCTGTCGGGGTTCACGGCGATGACTTGCTAGGACATTCCAAGCAGCGACCTTATGATGGCTGAAATTCGATACAGTCAGTCAGTTACACAGCATCCCCTTCATGCTTCAAACGGCATTGTCCACGGTTATTCAATACCCTTATCCTGGTGGGGCCGCCGTGGGGAAATTTCCCCCTGTGTGTCAGCACTGGGGCTTCCTCGATCGCTCTGGCTCAGCAACACGCAATTGAATGCGTTCCCCTTGAAATTGTGTCGATTCAAACTCTGAGACACATTTGCCCTCGATACCAACAACATCTCCATCACAACCCCGGTCTGAAAATGCCGTTTATTAATTACTGAGCTGTACCTGGACTCGAACACAACCAGCGAGTTCTCGACGTCTCTTGAAGTATATTAATTACTGAGCTGTACCTGGACTCGAACACAACCAGCGAGTTCTCGACGTCTCTTGAAGTATATTTCGATACCAAAACCACTAACGTTATCAACCCCCCCCAACGCCACGTTTCTCAGCTTGGGAAGCACGATTGACGTGTCATCCAACATCTCTTTTTTGTAACATTACCGAAAACGCCAATCAACTGCCCATCATGCTCTGTGTGATGTAGTCGGTCACATTGGGGCCGAATACCGTGGGGTACGGGTGAATATATCGAGTGGACAAGGCCGAACTGTTTCGAGTTCAAGCTATGAATACTTGCGACAAGGCAATGGAGTAGTTTGTGTAAAGAAATAATTCACAATGGCAGTCATCCATCACCGTTTGGAGAACCAGCAACTTGAAGGGTCGACCTTATTACTTTTAACCGCGGCGATTGCTGTGTTCGACTGCTGGAGTACATGCTGGAACGTTGACGATGTACCGCGTCGATTAAGCCCCTGCTGTACGTTACCGGTACAGTACGTTGAAATTTTCACATGCAAATTGCACTTTCTGCAGGAAGGGTAACTTTGGACTTGATTCGAATCTCACATGTTTATTGGGTGGTGGCTTGTGCTCACGGGGAATAATCCTCTGAATATCCCATTTGCACAAACTTTTAGAAAAGTAAAACTCGACACATTTCTCTCATATAAGTACATCAATCATGCTTTACCTTTCTTGCTTTATCAATTGTTTTGATGTGGTACCAAGCTCTAGGATACGGTATGCGACAGATCGCTGGACTTAAATATACAAAGGGTGATGTGTGGCTTGCAGTATCCCTTCGTGGATGCTTTATTGGTATTTTTCCTCACGTTTTTTTGTGATTTTTCCAATTGACACAGAACCGACATTGAAGTTGCCACGTTTCAACCCATGGAATTCTACATAATTAACAAGTCAAAGGCAAAAGAGAAAGATTTGCTTAACGTTATCCCCAGTTCACTTTCACACCTTCAGGTACTAGCTAAGTAGATGCACCATCCTTGGCCGTTCGTCGTCGTCGCCATGGCGGCATCGGCGCCAGATTGCGGCGACGACGTGTTGCCAGAGCTGGCGCAAGCGTTGTCTTCGTGTTCGACCGCTGCGTTTGGGAAACCAGACGTGTGGAACCCTTTCTTCACCCTCGTAACGGAGCTTCGCAAGCCCGAGTCGTTTGTGTTGGCGGATTTTTGCTCCAACGGCCTTCCAGGATGTGCAGACTTGGTCGCGTTGAGCTCCAATCGATCGTTTGACTGTAGCTGCTGGCTGTACAAAGCCACCGCGATCAACGTATACCAAGACATCCCGTTGTTGTGCCCCAGCATGCACCCCACGCGCACATTGCAGCTGTTTACCCGCAACGACAAACTCGTGACGGTGCAAGGCCAAGCGCTGGTGGCCAGCCCCCGGCTCACCGCGTTCAACCAGTCGTTCACGTTCGACATGGCCACTCACCACATCGAAAGCAATGAATTGTGTGGTCACTACTGCATTGAAGCCACTCCAGCTTCTCCATCTACCAGCCACACCTTGGCCATAACACTGACATTAGCTCCATGCGACAACGTTAACTCGAACCAACAATGGCAGGTGCAGCCGTACTTGAACCGCGTTCGGCATCTCAACGTCCCGAATGCCTGCTTGTCGGCAGACCCGTTTGCGACCAACTACGCGATTCGCGTCGAGCCGTGCGAGTCGGCGTTTCCAGCAAAGCAGTACTTTACCACGTCCGCGCCGTACGACGACGGGTGCCCTACCGCCGAATACGACGTTGATTATCCCGGCTTTGACCTCGAGAGCCGGGTGCTAGAACAGCCTAGCGCGTGCTGCTTGAGCTGCAACTGGCACCCCACCTGTCGCGCATATGCGTGGGCGGACGGTGTGTGCTACTTTAAGAGCGCCTTCAACACGTCATCGCACGCAGTCCCCAAGCCTGGCGTCGTGTCTGGGGCAGTCACGAAATGCAGCACGTGGTCAGAAGCGTATGACATTGTCGGCATGGACGTCGGCTCGGTCAAGTCGCCGACGAAAGAGCGCTGCTGCGACGTGTGCCAAGCCACGCCGACATGTCGAGCCATGTCGTGGAGCAACTTCCAAGGGGGCACGTGCTGGCTCAAGTCTGGCTACGGCGACTACCAACCAGCCGAAGGTGTCTGGTCGGCCTTTGTGATCGATTAACAAGTTCTATTTATCGTTGGCCACATTTGCTTGAGAAACTACAGTAGGCACAGATAGGTTTATAATATATCGGTACAGGTCTTGCAGAGCTAAGCGTTTGGGCAAAACGAATGTATTGGTTAATTCTTCCATAACTTTTCCCCCATGTATCACTTTTTAGATCTGAAGGTATATACGAATATAGGAGAAATCAGTTCATCGGGTGAGGGGTTTTATAATCAATATAACGGGATATTAAATTACCATATCGTTGTTTCAAATTTCGCTCCTGCCATACCTTCTGAGCAAATTAATATACTCAGAACAGCGATATTTAAATAAAAAATAGTTCTGCACTCAGACCAAAATTTATAATAATACGAGCGGGAGTACTGAAAGTAAAGTACTACCGTACCGTGCGTTTGGGCAAAACGAATCTTTCGATTTCAAATACTGGTCGGATTTAGCTCGTTCTTTTCTTAATCGCTTCGTCTTGAATTAAAGATGATGAATCCCCAGTTTTGAAGGCTAAATATGAATGGTGATAAACTTATGTGCCTTCGCGACATGGGGAATCCAAGCATTTGCTTGGGTCGGATTGGCACGTATTGAAAATAAAATAGCTCGAAATTTTAAAAACTTGCAAAGGGAAAATCCACTACGGTAGTAACGTTACTTGACTTTCAGTACTCCCGCTCGTATTATTATAAATTTTGGTCTGAGTGCAGAACTATTTTTTATTTAAATATCGCTGTTCTGAGTATATTAATTTGCTCAGAAGGTATGGCAGGAGCGAAATTTGAAACAACGATATGGTAATTTAATATCCCGTTATATTGATTATAAAACCCCTCACCCGATGAACTGATTTCTCCTATATTCGTATATACCTTCAGATCTAAAAAGTGATACATGGGGGAAAAGTTATGGAAGAATTAACCAATACATTCGTTTTGCCCAAACGCACGGTATGATTCTTAGTACGCCGGTCGGTGCATATGAGTTGGTAGCTCCATGCTGCCATACCAAATGAATATTTGCATTGGACATTGTATATATTTATACTATTTCTTGTCACAATTCAGATCCTTGGCGATCAAACCATCCCCTTGGTCGCCACAATTGCTGATCAACGCTGACCGTTTCGTCGGCGAAACCGTCAGGGTGTGATGGGCGCGTCGGCCAGCGTCAAGTACAGGCAGCTTGATGGCAAGTACCACGTCCAGGAAAAGGTCAGATTGGTCGAAGACAAGTGCATTGTGCTCCTGCATGACGCTATGCGACGCGGCGAGCTGACGCGGCAGCAGCTGCGGGTCCTTGTCGCCATGTTGCAGGCCAAGGAACAGTACTTGGAGCACTTCGCACACGAAAAGATCCACCCAATTCTGGTCGCTTTGCAGCCGTACTACGACAAATACCAACCCATCGCCAAGAAATGCGTGGACGGAAGCGTGCGGCAAACCAAGTGGGTTGCCCGCAAGATCGACGACGTGGTCACGACCACCACCCTCCAAGCGCTGTACCAGGCGAGGCGACAGGTTGTGTCCCAGCTGTCCATCGCGACCATCTCAACGTACTTTAACATTTCGCTGCCCGAGTAAGGCTTCCAACACGTGGCACCACCTTGTCACATATTTTGATGTGTTCACTGTGATCCCATTGTCACATATCGTGACACGTGAATATGGGCTTAGGGTGATCAGTGTCAAAGTCAGCAAACGGCACTTTACCATCCAAAACTGCGGGCCAGACCTCCGACATCAAGAAATCGAATGGACCTGCGACATTACAGACCCCAAGGTAGGATATACTTCTTCATATACTATACAAAATGATGGAGTTTAAGAGGGGGCTGACTATACATATTAGTTTATCAAGCGGTTGTTCACACTGCAGTGGGTTCCATGGAAACCAACAACTTCGACAGCGGTGAAACTCACGGAAACGTTCATGCTCGATGTCGAGTACTACGTCCGCAACGAATACGCCATCAAAGTGGTTCAACATATGAACCTACGTGCAGGTAGGCGCAACAGCACAATTTTCGTGTTTCGACATAGTTAAGAATCCTCTAGGCTACAAGTGGGTCGCGTTGGATACAAGGCAAGGCAGCGTGTCCACTCCACCCAAATGGCTGCAACGAGTCGACTACAAAGAGAGGGAAAAACGAAGTACGTTGTTCTACGACCTCGTAGCCCAAATGTACACACAAATGCACCGAGAGCACCTTCGATCTCTGGAGAGAGAACACGACGCGCGGCTAGCGGCGGAAGCTAGCAAGCCGCCCCCCCAAAAGCTCACCGTGTTCACGCCCGAGCTCATCAAGCGGACGTTGGCTACGTTGGCGGACAAGATCATGGACGAAGACCGATTCCTGTTCTACACGCTGGGGGAGTACGAGTGCTGGCGGATGGAAGGGGAGGACGTTAAGCAGCGGGGGGACTTGACCATTGGCGAGATGTATGAACTGTTTGAAATGGAAAAACAGGATGACCGGATGCGTGCGTTTGCGAGCGAGTTGCTCGCGCTGGGGGAACGCGTTGCTATGGAAATGGAGGACGTGAATCGAGGCGAAACCAAACACGAAAGGGAATGTCGATACATGCGCCGATATGACGTGGACGTCGAGTCCGACGACGACGAGTGAGGGATGTCATAATTATAACAAGTTAATAATTCGTCGGTTATTCATTCAAAAATGATAGCAAGACGGCACCCAACGCGAATGTTTAACGAATAGCAGGTATACCTTTATGGCCCCATCTTCAAAGCCACGCCACCTACCCGTAGACCGAAAAACTAAATGGTCATTCCAGTGTATGAGGCCGCTGCCGCTCGGGTGGATCGTTTGAAACGCTCCGGTATATTTTAAGCTTCAGAGCATTCGAGGCCCTTGAAGCGATGGCATCACCACCACCGCAGCTCAAGGGGCCTACGCTGAAATTGAACCAGCACCGCAACGCCGCGAGTGAGCCATACGTTCTCGGTCTTCGCTTGCGCTGGTTTCGTCGGCTTGTTCTCACGGTTGTGTACACGTTGCACATCATGTCCGCCATCTACTTTCTCAGCCTCGCCTACCTCATGCTCACCCTGACGCCGTTTGAGGCCACTGCCATGCGGGCGTACGCCCCCCGACCGTCCTCGATCCTGTTTCTAGGCATGGCGTGCCTTCACTTGACACCGTTTTTCAAGCTGTTTTACTCATCCAGCCCCATACTGAGGCATCTAGTCCGGAGAGTTGCCGCAAGGAAAACGGCCACCCGCTTCACCGCACGCTCCCCGCATTGGAAGCCAATGTACGGAATAATCATCCCGCCCTCGCTCGTCATGTCCCCCAACATGTCGATGGCTACGGGTCACTTGTTAGAGATTTCATCGGAAACGTGGATCGCCGGTCAAATGGCTAAACAGATCGTCGATCGCAAAGTGTCATTGTTCTATGCCATGGTGCTCGCGTCCAACTGCCTCATCACGACGTGGGCGCTGCTGTTTCGCAGCTCCGGTCTCAAGAAGACCCTCATCGGCATCCTCGACGCGTGCCTGTCGTCCCTGCTTTCGGCGATCATCCCCCTCGTGTTGTTTCTGGTGCCCCTGGTCGAATACAAGGTTTACGGCTCTGGCAACGAATCGCATGACTTTACGTGGCTGGCCCAGTCGGTTACATCTGTCCGGACGTTGATCGTGTGGACGCCCGTCCAGCCCGTTATGGTGATGCTGCCTAGCATCATGAACTACCTCGCTTTACAGGCGCTGTCTAAACGAGTACGCACCACGAAGGGGGTGACGCTGCGCAATGTGCTGGTAACGCCAATGGAAACCACCCTTGGCCACAGTAGCCCCCTTGGCCACAGTAGTAGGGAGCACCGACGACAGCCTAGCAATTTTGTACACCCAATGCTACTTGCTCCAACGGCGTCCATGAACTCGTCCATCCCAGCGGCAGGACGAGGTTTTAGCTCCATCGGCAACTCGATTCAGTCGTACGTCGCGTCCAAAACACAAGCATTTACCTGGCATCAAGAGCACGAATATGTGCTGCGGTGTGTGATTGTGCTCAGCGTTTTGTGGGGACTCGCGGTGGTTGCGGTGGCGGTAACCGCGGAATTCTACAGGCTCCCGTGCCCCCCGGGCTGCATACTGGACTCGGCTCCGTGGTTCTCACGGTCTTGCAATTGCATCTACTTTCGATGGACGTGCAACTCGTCCAACTATGACGACGTGTTGGACGAATACATCAATGCCACCGATCTCGGGCAAAACCTCCTCTTTTTGCACATCCGAAAGTGCGGGCTACGCCAAGGTTTGGCGGCGGAGACAATGTACCAATTTCAATCGCTGTATGCATTTCACTTTGAATTCACAAGCATGCAACAGTGGAACATCCCAAGCTCCGCGATCCCAAACACAGTGATCGTGGCCCTTATTCGGCACAGCTTATTGGACCACGTGCCACTTGCGTTGCAAACTCCGGGCCCCAGCCTCCGATCTATCTTCCTTGTGGGGTCCCCCCTTCAAAACATTCCAAATGCCATCTTTAACAACTGGCAGCACCTGAACTCGCTGTGGCTGAGCTCGACCAACTTGACGGAGTTTCCACTACCGGTGCTGCAAATGCAAGACTTGGAAGTGTTGGCGCTCGACTCGAATCACATCAGTACCATCCCACCCGAGCTGCATTTGCTGCCAAATTTGTACTGGGTATATCTCGACTCGAACAACATTTCAGTCTTTCCCGACTCGCTCGTCACGGCCCGCCACGGCATTTACCTCTACCTGAACCACAACCCCATCGAGTTCATCTCAGACGACGTGGTAGCTCAATTGGACCCGTGGTATGTGGACATCTCGTCGACCGTGTATTGTCAACAACGTCAGCTCCCCCTGCTGTGCACATCGGATTGCTCTGAAAGCTGCAGCCATGCTGATTGGGGGAATTACTTTTGTGACCCCGAGTGCAACTCGACTACGTGTCAGTACGACAAAGGCGACTGTGCCTTTTGACAAGTGTTACCAACCCCATGGTGGGCTTTCCACTGGCTTCTTGAATAATTGAACCACACCAGTTGGCCACGATTAATATGGGGCGGCGTACAGTTGTGCCTAACTTAATGTCTACCCGACCACGAATACACCAACGTTGAACACTGTGTAGAAGAACGCAGTCATGTTTAGGTGACTACATGTAGTATTAATAGTTACAGTTGGGCGCAACATATAGCTAGTTCAATGGGGATGATTAGTTTGAAAACAAAAGTATGATCGACCGTGTTTGGATTACTTTTTAGGGACTTTATCCAGAAGCACTGCAATGCGAGCCAGGTCATACTTTTCCGCCGCGACCAAAATAGCCGACGCGGCAATGTCTTTGTGGACTGGCAGAAGTCCTTGTTGCTCTTGCCGCCGCTGGTCTTGGCCGAGTTTAATCACATTCCCCACTTCAGAAATGCCCACGTAAATGTTGTAATTGTGCAGCAGGCCTTCGTGGACCTACGAGACTAGTATTACGATTGCGGAGATATATCACAAGTAGTACCTGCTTGGCGAGCCCGAGGCGCCGCTTCTCCCACTGCTCTTCCTCTGCGCGGTGGTTTGCCGCGAGCAGCTTTCGATGGCCGTCGAGTCGCCACGGCCGAGTGCTTTCGCGGGCGTGGACTTCGCCTTCGGTCGGATTGAAGGGGATGCGGCGCTTGGGCTTTGAAAAGCCAGCTTCCACCGACGCAATCAGCGACGGCGGGAGATTGTCAATGTCCACTTCATCCCCTTCGCACGGAGTGCCGTCCCCAAACACATCGTGCTTGCGATCGCCCCCGTCGTCGGGCATGATTTTGGAGGATTGTGTGGCGATTTGGGGAGCTATTTATACACACAAGAAAGCCCCTTTGCGATGCATGTATACTTTGTCGAGGTGATATACTGGATAAACGGTTGAAGTCTGTTGTTATTTACTAGTTTAGCGTCCAATCCAATTATAATACGTGTGATGGGGTCTATATACTGTACTACTAGAAACCCTTTACGTGATACCATCGTTGTGTGCGTTCATTCCTGGTGTTATTTATCGACAAGGAATAGTTCTAACTTTACCTACTGCATTGCCTGTACCTTGCATGTATTGCTTCATCCATAGCTGGCCAGTTCCAAGGACTTAAAAACGAAGTCTGTCTAACACTGTACATCCAACTCGTCCATACATACATACGAGTGTATTATTCTTATAACCCTGCTTCTTCCGCAGAAGATCGTCGCCCCCCTTTCCCCCCTTTCGTCTGGTGGGAAAGCCCCAAAGCCCCCCCCCCGCCTCTGTTTGTTTCGTCGTCGAATGTCTTGGCTCGTTGCCTTGGAGATGTTGCACGAAAAAGTCCCATCGTTTGCGAGTGCCATACGCGCTTCCACCGGCGCCGTGCCCTAGCTTAGGGAACACGACGACATCCACGTCCTTGTCGGCGTCAATCAGTGCCTGCACCAGCTGAAACGTACAGGCGGGGTCGACGTTGGCATCGAGCATCCCCACTGTCAGCTGTAGGTGCTGGTGCGGCTGCATGTGGTGGGCGTACGTGGCGTTGGCATTGGCCGCGTACAGTTGGTCGTTGAACGGATGCCCCATCCACAGCTCGTTCCACCACAACTTGTCGACACGGTTGTCATGGCAGCCGCAGTCGGCCACCGCCACTGAATACATGTCCCCATGATGGAACAAGCCAGCGACCGCATTTTGCCCGCCCGCGGACCCGCCGTAAATGCCGACGCCGCCGGTGGATAAGTCGAGTGACGGGAATTTGACTGCAAGGGACTCTAGCCAAAGCTTGCGATCGGGAAAGCCGGCGTCCCGAATATTCTGAAAACAAACGTCGTGAAACGCCTTAGACCGGTGCGCCGTGCCTACAACCAAGTGTGAGGAGCGTAACCAAATTGAGAGTCGACAAGATGAGAGAAAGGGAGCGAATTCGATAGCATTGTAGTAGTCGTAGTACAGTAGTAGTCGTAGTAGTAGTACTAGTAGGAGTATAGTACAACGACATTCCCGGTGGGAATATCAACCGGTAACAGTCAGTCACACGATAATATTACTCTACCAAACTTTGGCAGAAAGCAGCACAATACTATTAATAGTATATATATATATATATAACGAAGCCGAACATATCTTCAATATATGGAGGGTTCGGATATATGGGGGTTGTGAGTTCTTCCATCAACTGAAAAAGCAACGACTAGTCACCATGTCACTCAAACGCCCTAGTTTTTCAAACACACGTGTGGCATACATATACATACAGTATACTACTACATCCCCATTGGGCGACAGGTCAGTAGGAGGTTTCATAGTAGATACTACTAGTAGTAGTAGCAGTACTAGTAGTAATCGTAGCCCTCCTTACCCATGCCATCAACTTGCACGACGGCAAACCCGAGTTCGGCCAGCTGTTGCATTTCGAGATGCAGGCCAAATGCTTTGGGCACGTGGGCGCCGTGGGGACCTGCGTAAATGTGTTCGACTACTCGAAGTCTGGTCTCAAAGTCGTAGCCAATGGGGAACACGACGAGGCCGAAGATGAGGGTGACGCCATCACGACCAGGACAGGCAAACCGACTGGGCGGCTGCCACTGCACTTGGTCTTGGAGCGGTTTATAGTTGCCTTGTTCCAGCACACACACCAAGCTACCGTCCACGGACCGGCGAAGTTCAATGCAAGGCGCCATGTCCACACGCGAATACCTGCAATAAACCACAAATATTATATTAGCATGGACGAATTTTGAATTTTCTACTATAGGATGGACTATTATAATATTTCCCTTAATAGCCGTTCGTACAACATGGTAACGTGTAAAGAAGAGCAGATAGACAAACGACTGTCAATCGATGGACCAATCAAAACCCAGATAAAAAATCAAGTGGCCAATCAAATTCTCTCGCTTTCACATCGACTTCGTGTGTGCCTTTTCTTGTCTGGTGCATTTTGTACATACAAAATCCAAACAACCAGGATTTTTGGCGAATCATCCGCACACAAAACTCCAAATGTTGGATGAAAGGTTAATATATAATATATATATATATATATATATACATAACAATCATATCTGTCTAAATATATATATATACAATCGCACGTATCCAAGATCACCGAGCCTTATGTATCAATCACATCTGTCAAGTATATATATATATATAATATATACAATCACACCTATCCCAGATCACCGAGCCTTATATATATATATATAATCATACCTATCCAAGTACACGGAGCCGTCGGCGGAGTACTCTAGCGGACGGTGAAATCCGTCCGCTTTTGTCAAAGGCACGAGCTCGTGTGTGTCAAGATGCAACCGCAGCACGTGAATATAGTACGGGTCTTGGTGTGGGTAAAACCCACTCACTGCCAACGTGACCGTTCGAGACGTCTCGTTCACGTCCACTACCTTGCGGACGACATACGGTCCACTTGTGAGGGCGAGGCCGACCAGTTCAGTCATGTCATGGAAGCTGGCTGGAACGTTGTATAGGTACAAGTGGCGGTACCCAGAGCGCTCGGATATCCAGAGAAGCTCATGGGTACATGGAAGGAAGTGCATGTAGTGCTTGGTGTGGAGTATAAACTTCGATGGGGATGTGTCCTCAAGCAGCACGCGCGTGTCCCCTGTCACATGGACTGCGACGATGCGAAGGAAGCCGTGGCCCCGGGGATTGTAGAGGAAACTGAACCAGTCGCTCGAAGGATGCCATGTCAGACCCGTCACATCGTACGGTGTGTCGCATAACAATGTGCTCACGGGAATACACGTTTTGGACTAGAAGGATATATTATATATATATATCAGGACGACCAATGTCGGCGTGATATATCAGTGCATTTTTTCCATGCCGTTTTTATACTAGTAGTGTAGTAGTGATGATGATTATACACTAACTGTAAGGCGAGAACGTGGAGAATGGTAAAAATCGACGACACACAACTAAATATAAAGGAACCTAAGAAGTAGAATCGGCAAACGTATTGAGCCAATCCGATGGCAGGAAACCACCATCAAGGTCTAATTCGTAAATGACTGAAAATAGTGTGATATTTCATTTCCATGTGCCATTTTATATATTCAGTGATGATTCGACTACAATACTGTATACAGAATAGAGAATCGACAACACAACCAAATACATAAACTGAAGACGCATTGTGAGCCAATCAATTGTAAGCATTCCGCATGTAATTGTATCACATTATTAAATGTGATTACAATCCCCACCGGGCAACTTTGTACATTTAAAATTTAGTACAAAGTATCGATCGATCGGTCGATTTTTGGCAAATCGGCCCCAAAAAGTCGAATTTCTCAGAGTGAAAATTCAGTATCACGTCATCGTGACATATCATTTCGTACGTACGGCAATGTGGACCACAAACGGGCGGAAGATCCGCATGTCGTCGCCTGGCTGGGGGTACTTGTGTGTTTGAACGGTCGGCTTTGGTGCCCCGCAATGTTCCACCAACGTCAGTGTGTATGTCGAGGCCTAATGTATTTATTATTCGTGTATGAAAATGCAAAAATTAAACATTAGTAACATTTAGGAAGCGCCAAATATATAAAACACAAAATACAATATATATATTCGAAAATTGCATCATGTGTGACCTGAAAAAGCTAAACCAAAAAAAATTCGTTTGCAAAAAAAGAACGAATATATATATATATATTTATATATATTGTGGATCCGATACGAATTTCCAGACCCCGTCGCATCGAGCCGAATCGAATCACGAATCGACGCTATTGGCTTATCCATTTTTGCGTGGATTTGATTGGCTCTTGCAGAAAAAAGGACAAGTACCGTGTAACGTATGGCAAGTATCCGGATACGGATAGTGTCGAGTACCATATGCATACAATAATCAAGTGTAATAATACAGAGGATTATATAATTTTACAGAGGAGTCCAAATCTATATGGTTATCTAAACCTACACCTATATACGCTACACGGTATAAACAACCAATCACAACTCCACCGTGATTCAATACTAATTCGACCAGGCGAATTTTGCAAGGTTGTTTAGAACGAATTCACAATACATCGAACCAAACAATATGTTGGCAAACAAAAATAGAACGAAAAGCATATATATATATACCGACGCTGGTTCGACCACAAGCAAGCACGCAATGTACTCGCCATTGGGCGACACCGTCACATGGTCATAGTGTGCCTCCGGGGTGCCATCGAACGTGAGCTGGATGCCTCCATGTACAACGTTGAACCCAGCAGATAAATCATCATTATCAGTAGCAGCATCAGCAGCATCAGCTACATCAGATGCATCTTGGTCCGGCTTGTCGGGCAGTGTCCATGGCACCAGTTCGGTCAAGTCGATGCCGAGAACGGTCACTTGATGGGGCCCTTCCACTGCACGGTGCCACGTCATCGACTCAGTTTCGTGTGTCAAGTGCCAAACGTGGCCTGCGTACGTTTGTTGAACGACGGACGCTCCGGGTGCCACGTCGTGGTATTGATGCTGGCGGCCTGGGATATATATGTGATGATGTGTTGTTGGTTATGAGCAGTGGTGGCCTACCGTCGCCATCGACCCAATACACCAGTAGATGGAACGCACAACCGTTGGTAAACTGCACATGCGTCTCGTTGCCAGTGTGCTGCGTCACCATGCGACGAGGTTTCAAAGCCATCTCGTCAAGATGATGATTAGACGGATCGTTGTAAGGCGTGTCCTGGACTTGCACGGCATAACGCTCTAAATCGACTTGGAACCAAGACTGTGGCGCTACTCGATGCAACGAAACACGAGTGTCAATTCGTTGATGTCAGGAAGAGGCTACCTAGCACGGTCGTGACTTGCGCGGTACCTGGAGGTAAGGGTGAGGGCACTGCCACGCGGACACGAACGACGCGTGGAGCGTTGTCGACCAACGCCACGCTGCGGAATCGAATCTCCCGAGGCTCCAGGGATGGGAATTCATCGGCCAAGACGTTCCCCATGGCTGCCTTCAAGCGATCGTTGTCCACGAGCGACTCGCCAGTATGCACGTCGACGACGCACACTTCGTTGCGGCCATCCAACGCAACCTGCCGCAAATACCACAGCCGCGTGCCGTCTGAACTCCACTGAGGCTCTACATGCTCATTGAGCACCTTGCCTTGGAGGAGGTTTGGCAGCGACGCCGCCCGTGCGTAGTCGGCAGCCGACCCAGTCCATCGTCGAGTTTCCATGAACGGATTCAGCTGATTCGAGAATCGACTTGACATACTAGTGTATGTATGCGTCAGATTTTAAGCTTATGTAATGTATGCAATAAGCATATGCAGGTCAACATTTTGGCTTGGCCAAACTATACTAATTGATGATTGGTAGAAATGTTTCGTTAGTGAACATCTCATTGGCTAGGACAATCGCAAATGGCATTTGTGAAATTCATTCGATTCTATTCCACGGCAAAGTCCCATAGTTGGTGTGATCTTCACCAGGAGACATACAATTAGAACTGACATATTCCCATAATCGTTACGGGCACCACACGAACGACCCAAACAGGGCACAGTCGCCCTTGCTGTACTGCAGCAAGTGTTGGGTCAACGGCCAGTAAGGTTAGCAAGTGTTGGTGTACGTTGCAGCACTTGTTGCTGGGGTCCGCAGTGGTCGGCACCGCGGTGGCGGACGAAAGGACTGGCGTCTTTCTGGTTGATGTTGGAGTGGTCACTGGACGAGGGGTCACTGGGGCCAGGGTGGTAGTACTGTAGCAGTCGTCACTGGAGTGGCAGGGCGAAGCGTCGGCTGCGAGTCGCTGAAGTTTGTGCTACTTAACTATGTAAATATCCGCGCAGTTCCAAATCAATTGCCGGTCCAACGGATCCAAGCTCGGGTTGTTGCCTGCAATGTAAAACCACCGCAGGATGCAGTGCGAGTCGCCCGTAGAGTCCAAACACCTCGTCGCTGTGAAATGACTTGGTGTATACATGTATGTAGTCTCCATGTCCGTAGGGGCCAGATACACTTGGCAAAATGGCCGGAATGCCACGCTTTGATAGCATATTTCGTAAATGCCACCACATAGAGAAATCTAGTAGACTCGTGTTTTACGGTAACGTTTCAACTAGTATTGATGAAGCTAGCATAAGCTCATTCAAACGACACACACAAAGTAATCGCATTTAATCACACCACACAGACCAAAGAAAGAGTTGGCAGTGGGCCTTGGCATAAGGCAGCACTTGTTGATTAAGTGGCCAGAAGCAGACGTTGCGGTTGCCATTGCACTGGTTGGACGGCAGGGGGTCGTCGTGAGGGTAACGATGGGCTTGGTCGTGGGGGTGACGATGGTCTTGGTCGTGGTTGGGGTAGATGTGGTGACGGTCTTGGTCGTAGAGGGGGGGAGTCTCGGTGGTCACGGGCTTGGGCCACAGAGTGCTTGGGGGGAAGGCACTGGTCTGGCAGGACAAGTTATCGCCTGGGGCTACGCCGAGCAAGTTGGCAAACTTGATGTAATTGGCGATGCGGGACTTCTCCGACTCCTTGTTGGCCGGGTTCGGGCCACATTCCAAGCCCCCGTTGATAATGTACGTGGTGTACGCAAACCCCCCCGGTTGTCCCACCACGTCGTGGATGTTGCCGTTCCACTTGTCCACGTTCCAGAACCAGTACGCGCTCCACCACACTAGCCAGAGGTCTTGCGCCACCAGATCGGGGTTCGCCACCAGATCTTTGCCCGCAGCAATGCCAAAGTCTTTGTAGTTGTAGTTCCACGACAACTGGATCGGCCCCCGACCAAAGTATTGCTTGCCCGGGGCACACGGGTAGTCGGCCGATGCCTCGCACATAGTGGACTTGTTGATTTCTTCCACGTATTGCAAGTACCCCGACTCGTGCGCGATTTGCCCTAGAAAGGCCGCGACTTCGCGCTTGTCGACGTCGACGTTGCCCGTGTTGGCAAATGCGGGGTAAATCTTGGACACGGCGATCATCTTCTCGTACGAGTAGATGGGCAACGCTTTGGGAAAAACGGACTGGAAAAGCGACTTGGGCAAGTACGTCTCGAGGCCCGCCGACTGCACGGCCGCCACCGACGCTAGCAATACCACCGTTTTCATTGTATGGAATGTGACTGAGGCTAAGCAAATTCAAGAATGAGAGCAAGGCGCAAGGCAGGCTGGCTGGCTCACGATAAAAAAGAATTGTGTGCCGTCCACCGCTGGATCAGACACTTTATGTGCAGTGGGATTTCAATCAGTGCTGAGTTGATCGTTCAAGTTGAGGGCATTTGTTCTGCATGGCGCTGCAGAAAGACCTATGAGCCTTTTTAGAGGTCGGCTCATGGTCTCATCATCGGTAAGGCCGTTAGTCTCCATTATGTGCAGCATGCTGCCATTCGTCGTGCGGTTGTACGCCATTGTCGAGCGGTTGTACGCCATTGTCGAGCGGTTGTACGCCATTGTCGAGCGGTTGTACGCCATTGTCGAGCGGTTGTACGCCATTGTCGTGCGGTTGAAAGATGTGTTTTGTTGGCGCATTTTCATTGGACGTAGACTTAAAAAAGACCAGAAGATGTAGTACTATTAATATTTTAATATTAATAGTACTACATCTACGAATTACTATTAAAATAGTAATTCGTAGTAAGAGACTTCAGTTTGCAATTTAAATCGGCCTCCGCACGAGGTTCCCGTCCGGATAACGACGGAAGCAAGAATTCTTTGACCCCATCGCCCGAAGGAATAGGTCACCAAACCAGTTCGTCACATATTTCGGAAGAGCATGAATGTTTCAGTGAAAGCCTCGTTTATATCCAATATGCTTTAGCTACTGATGACTTGCTCTGGTATTTCTGAAGAAATAGAGTGTTTTCCTCATGAGTATGCAATTCAGCAATATCCAAGTCATTTCCAAAATGACTCGATAGTAAGCGATAACTGAGTACTATTAATAGTAGATCGGAATCAAGGACAAGTTTCCATAATAAAATAGTTCAGATATATTTATACTTGTTGTTTGTATGCATTTTATTAATATTACACTATTGCATACAAATTTCAAATAATTGATTAAAAACCACATGTATTTATCAGCGGCGACTACAGTCCTGACAAAAACTATAGACGCACTCGAGTTTTTGAATTTTTTGAAACAATATTCAATTTTGAATCATCGTACTTTGGGATAATACTTTGAATTGGTATCGAATTGTGATACTAGTCTAAAAATTGTGAAATCCAATTTACTCTTTTGTAAAATTGAGAAAAACCAGTTTTCAGGGTGATAAAAACTATAGACGCACTGAGATTTCATTCACTATTTATTGATTGCACCTCCGTTTCTCAAAACTACTTGAGCCATTCTTGTTGGCATACCTTCCACAAGATTTGGGAGGTAACTTCCCGTACTCGTCATGGGAGGCAAGGCCACGTGAAGTACGGCTGGCGCGGGCAACTTCCGTCGCAAACCGCTCTGCACGGCGCTGTAGGTATCTGCGTTGGTTCGCGGCTCTCTTTGAGGTGTTTTCAGCTACCACACACTTGTAGCGTGCCATGACGGCACGATAGTAGTCATTAGAGAGGTTTCGCAACTCATCTTTATCATCACCCTCAGCTGTGTCTGCCAAAACCGGAAGTATACCTGTAAAACCTAATTAAAGATAGTGCAAAACTTGATTAACAATCACAAGAATTGGCCAACTGTGAGGACAATCATCTTTGTCCTAAGTGGCCCTCGAGGCGGAACGGCATCATACTTCCAGGACGGCTTCGCCGTATTCATTCAGACTTTGCTGGAGGGTGTGGATATCCGACGCAGTCTGGTCCTGGAGGCGCTCCATCATAGACGACACATTGAGACGCATGGTACACAGGAGATGAAAGAGATGAATTATGAGTTACGAGTAAAGGAATGGTTAGAAGGCACTCTTGAGGATGTTGAGCTTTCGTTGTGATTGACGCGAAAAACTTACAGCCAACGAGAATTTGAGTCCAAGGGCGATGGAAATATACCTCTATGTTTACATATTTGATCAGTAACTTCATACTAGTATTTGACAAGTAGATGAGTAAATTACGAGGTTTCTTGATCACTGATGTAGTTGTCAATCTTTCAGCCAAATAGTCAGTAAATCATTTTATCGTATATATACCGTCAGTTGAGGTACAAAATGCGAAATATCCCGATATGATTCCAATATATTGCACTATTTGAGCAAAAACTGTGTAATTGGTCCAGAGGCCTAATGAGTGACTACGACCACCAACGCTCGCTGTCCCCTGTTAACGGGACGGAACGATCTCGATCCCGAGAAGCCAAACTCGGACGTCCCTTGCGCCGTTAAGTGACTACCCCGTTCACCTCTCCACGCCGGCGTAATATCCACCAGCTGTTGACCAGCGGCTTCAACCAGATGGCGACGCAAACACCCCATTTACGGCGCACACACCGACTCCCGTGGCCGCCGCATTTGAACCCCCGCGCCAGCTGCGACACCAACTGGCACCACCGACCTGCCCCCTGTCCCCGATGACGATGATATGGGATAAGGCGATGAGCGCTGCTTCGTGTACAACGCCGGCGCTCCCTGACCCGCCCTCGTTCAGGCAGCTTCACCAAGTCGGGGCGGCGGTGTTCATCCGCCTGTACAACAAGTAACTGGACCAAGTCAACACCCTAAAGCTCAAAGGCTCAAGTCCGTTCGTGATACCTGTCAGTACGCGCAGGGACGTCTTTACCAAGAAGCGTGTGGCGATGTGGGACATGGCCAACCGCGACTACCGTGGCGTTGCGAACACACAGTGGGCCGCATGGTTTAGCAAGGCCTTTGAAGAGAAGCCTCAAGACCTAGAAGTGCTCAAGAAGCGTTTGACGACGGCGATCCGGTTCGACACGACCATCCTGGACGCCGACTCGCAGATTGGCAAGATGCTTGACAACTTGATGCAAGCCTTGGAACGCGACGACGAAGCGTGGGACTTGGAAAAAGAGAAACCATGACAGTTGTCGACATCATGGTCAAGGCGATCGAGCCGCTTGGCCTGCAGAAGTTGGTCCAACACCAGCTGGCCCTCAAACGCAACAAGCCATTGAAGTCCAACGTGTACTGTTTCGTTGACTGCCTGCGCATGCATGCCGCCCGGTACCACTTGTAGGCCCCGGTGAAAGACGATAAGATTTCAGCGCTGCCTGCGACGGTAGCCGCAGCTCCATTGCGGCCGTTCAAGCCTGGACGATCTGATGCCAGCGTTGGCAACAGCAGTGGACGTCCCCGGCGCCATCCCCTGAGTAAGACAGTCCGAAGTACGAACGCAAGAAGGGAACATGTCTCAAGTGTCGCAGCGAGAACCACAAGGTCGTGAACTGCCCCAAGTGCGCGGCTAGTGAATCTGAGCGCCTGCTCAAGGAGCAAATGGACAAGTGGGAGAGCGCGCGCAACAAGAAGATGACCAAGCTTCAAGGCAGCGCTACCAAGTCCCTTGACCGCGAAGCCAAGATCGAAGGCATCGTGTCCGTCACGACGACCCTCCTCGACACCGGCTCCGACGTTACCTTGGTGACAGCCGGTGTCATGAAGTCCCTGGAGCGGGTCGGCGTGGAAGTCAAGGTGATTTCACCAGAGCCATTCGTGATCCAGCCGTATGGTCAAGCACCTGCCCTCAAGCTCGACCGCCAAATGCAGTTCAAGTTCGTCATGCTGGACACCCCCTGTGGACCTTTGGCCCTGCGTGGACTCAAGGCCTGGTGGACTCTTCCTCCAACGAGGCAGAGCTCCTGATTAGCCGGGCTGTGATGAAACGGCTGGGTTTCTCTGACGTTGAGTTGCTCAGCCACGCCTTTGCCAACCAAGAAGTCTGGGATGTCAGCGATGTGGACAAGCCGTCTGCGATGACAAATGTCAGCCACCTGACTCAAGTGGCCGCCACAAGTGACGAGTGCGGTGATAACGGCATGCACTGTGCCACCCCCAACATCCAAGTCCCATCTTCTGAAGACGCAGAAGGCGAGCGGAACAGGCGGTGAGCGGTGGTTGAAGCGGTGATTTAAGACAAGCTCCATGCTGCCGAAGACGGAGGCTTGACCGCGGCCCTCCTCGAGAAGCTGCGATTCCTCCTGGCCAAGCACGGTGATGTATTCCGGCTGGAGATAGGCCATGACGAGCCGATCAAGGTGGAGCCGCTACGAATGCGCATCAAGCCTGGCGCCGTCCCTGTCAAGTGTGGCCTGCGACGATACCCCCCAGCCCATGTGGAGTTCCTGAAGACACATGTGCACGAGCTCGAAGCAGCCGGTCTGGTACCGAAACAACCGCGCAACATGGGCATCGGCGCCACGCATCCTCCCCAAGAAAGACCCTGGCGACTTGCGCATGACCATCGACAGCCGGCCCATCAATGCGTGCACGGAGCCTATGCCATGGCCTATGCTGAACCCCGAACGCCGCCTTGACTGTCTTGGTGGGCGCGCGGGCGTTTTTAACCCCCGACTGGTTCAAAGGCTACTGGCAGCTGGCGCTCCATGAAGACTCCCAAATGTACTACTCCTTCATGACCCACTTTGAAGTGTACACGCCCACAAGAGTGCTTATGTGCCAGACCGACGCGGTGGTGGCGTTCTGTCACTCGGCGGTGGACTTCATGTTTGCCGACCTATTGTTCAAGGGACTGCTAGCCTGACATGATTAGTTAGCTACACCGAGACCCCTGAAGCCCTCATCGACCTCCTCGACCAAGTCCTCACGATCTGCTCCTCTTTATGCCTAACGCTCAACACGTGAATATAATACGGGTCTTGGTGTGGGTAAAACCCACTCACTGCCAACGTGACCGTTCGAGACGTCTCGTTCACGTCTACTACCTTGCGGACGACATACGGTCCACTTGTGAGGGCGAGGCCGACCAGTTCAGTCATGTCATGGAAGCTGGCTGGGACGTTGTATAGGTACAAGTGGAGGTACCCAGAGCGCTCGGTCATCCAGAGAAGCTCATGGATACATGGAAGGAAGTGCATGTAGTGCTTGGTGTGGAGTATAAACGTCGATGGGGATGTGTCCTCAAGCAGCACGCGCGTGTCCCCTGTCACATGGACTGCGACGATGCGAAGGAAGCCGTGGCCCCGGGGATTGTAGAGGAAACTGAACCAGTCGCTCGAAGGATGCCATGTCAGACCCGTCACATCGTACGGTGTGTCGCATAACAATGTGCTCACGGGAATACACGTTTTGGACTAGAAGGATATATTATATATATATATCAGGACGACCAATGTCGGCGTGATATATCAGTGCATTTTTTCCATGCCGTTTTTATACTAGTAGTGTAGTAGTGATGATGATTATACACTAACTGTAAGGCGACAACGTGGAGAATAGTAAATATTCGACGACACACATCAAATCAAATATAAAGGAACCTAAGAAGTAGAATCGGCAAACGTATTGAGCCAATCCGATGGCAGGAAACCACCATCAAGATCTAATTCGTAAATGACTGAAAATAGTGTGACTACCATCAAGTTTTTACAAACAATATATCGATTAATAGATTTGGCAAATCTAACCATTTTGGGTCAATGGACAATATCATCGTGATATTTCATTTCCATGTGTCATTTTATATTGGAGTGATGACTCGACTACAATACTGTATGCACAATAGAGAATCGACAACACAACCAAATACATAAACTGAAGACGTATTGTGAGCGAATCAATCACATTGTAAGCATTCCGCATCTAATTGTATCACATTATTAAATGTGATCACAATCTCCACCGGGCAACTTTGTACATTTAAAATTTAGTAAAAGAATCGATCGATCGGTCGATTTTTGGCAAATCGGCCCCAAAAAGTCGAATTTCTCAGAGACAAGTATATTCAACCAATCACAACTCCACCGTGATTCAATACTAATTCGACCAGGCGAATTTTGCAAGGTTGTTTAGAACGAATTCACAATACATCGAACCAAACAATATGTTGGCAAACAAAAATAGAACGAAAAGCATATATATATATACCGACGCTGGTTCGACCACAAGCAAGCACGCAATGTACTCGCCATTGGGCGACACCGTCACATGGTCATAGTGTGCCTCCGGGGTGCCATCGAACGTGAGCTGGATGCCTCCATGTACAACGTTGAACCCAGCAGATAAATCATCATTATCAGTAGCAGCATCAGCAGCATCAGCTACATCAGATGCATCTTGATCCGGCTTGTCGGGCAGTGTCCATGGCACCAGTTCGGTCAAGTCGATGCCGAGAACGGTCACTTGATGGGGCCCTCCCACTGCACGGTGCCACGTCATCGACTCAGTTTCGTGTGTCAAGTGCCAAACGTGGCCTGCGTACGTTTGTTGAATGACGGACGCTCCGGGTGCCACGTCGTGGTATTGATGCTGGCGGCCTGGGATATATATGTGATGATGTGTTGTTGGTTATGAGCAGTGGTGGCCTACCGTCGCCACCCAATGCACCAGTAGATGGAACGCACAACCGTTGGTAAACTGCACATGCGTCTCGTTGCCAGTGTGCTGCGTCACCATGCGACGAGGTTTCAAAGCCATCTCGTCAAGATGATGATTAGACGGATCGTTGTCGCAAGGCGTGTCCTGGACTTGCACGGCATAACACTCTAAATCGACTTGGAACCAAGACTGGCGCTACTGGCGCTACTTGATGCAACGAAACACGAGTGTCAATTCGTTGATGTCGGGAAGAGGCTACCTAGCACGGTCGTGACTTGCGCGGTACCTGGACGTAAGGGTGAGGGCACTGCCACGGGCTCTCGTCTGTTTACAGAGGAGAGCTGTTAATTCCCCGCAAGCTATATAATTCAATATAGTTCCTGTTTAAAACGTTCATAACTACGACAACAACAAACAACACTATATGCGGCGGCCAATCAAGAACTCCCAATCGAATGAGCGTAACTTTTTCCGAATATGTTATCCGGATTTAGCCTCATCATCCATGTCACCATTACGAAAAACTCGAGCCAGCGCAGCAATTACATGAGAAAGTTGTTGTGCAAGATCAACGACGGCGTGGCATGTGACAAGATGCGACAGCACTCCAACGATGGGTTCAAGACACATGTTGTGACTGTTCATAAGTTGGAGTGGGTCCGCAACGGCCGCGAAACATTTGGAGTGAAGATCGATGCCCCGCCACTCCAGGACGCTCCATCCAACGAGGATGATGCCATGTATGCCGATAGTATTTGTCGGCGTGGCTGCGTAGCGAAGGTGACTCTTTTGTTGATGATGCAAATAGGTCACAAAGTTGGCGTTGCCCCATACGAAGTGCTTAGTGCTTTAGTCGTGGACGCACCAGTCGACGTGCCAGTGCAACCAATCACGGTAGAGCCTGTCGCGACTCCTACTGATGAAGTCCTCCGTAGTGCACGCCGCCGCCGTCGAAACTAAATCTAAGACTTCTGATTCTTTGTATTCCATGGTACTACTCTGGTTCGAAATGTTTTTACCAATTTTTTCAACGTTTTGCCATTTTCCCGGTATGTATCCGTTGCTTAATCTAATTGGTGCAAAAGAACGAAGCCTAGCTCGTCTTTGATTGGCCAGTTCAAGAAGTTTTAATCCCAACACATCGTTGAGATATCGCTCGCCAAGTGCGCCACGTCATTTTTTTCAGCATAAACCGACCCGCCAGTCAATCAAAATCGTTGTTATCACGTGCACTCAAAGCTTAAAGCCCTTAATTGGTGTCTTAACAGTTCTTAACACTGCTGAGGAGCCTGGTACGTTTGTTGTGTAGTCTTGAGGACTGATGCAAGGTCTGGCGACGATGATAGTTGCAGCATGCACAAAATCCTCCAGGAGAATGCTATAGAAAAACTTTGAGTGCGCATTGCACTATAATGCAATTCATTGACGGCATACCCGTATCTTGAGTCTAGGCGCATCCACAGCACTCGCATTGCCTCAGTATGCGGCGACCACCTTCGTTGGCCTATTTTGGGGTATAAACCTTGGATAATTAATATGTCCTTCATAATACTATCGAGTTAAAGAGGAATAATCCGAAAATTTTCGAAATTGCATACTTTAATCAAGTCTAAAACATGGTACAAACATAACGGACCAGAGTAGTACACTACTATGTCAAGCCGATTCTCGAATCAGCTCAATTTCATCAAAAAGAACAATACATCGGGATACCTGAATCCGTGGGGGTGTCATCATGGAACCTGGACGATGGACTGGGTCGGCTGCCGACTACGCACGGGCGGCGTCGCTGCCAAACCTCCTCCAAGGCAAGGTGCTCAATGAGCATGTAGAGCCTCAGTGGAGTTCAGACGGCACGCGGCTGTGGTATTTGTGGCAGGTTGCGTTGGATGGCCGCAACGAAGTGTGCGTCGTCGACGTGCATACTGGCGAGTCGCTCGTGGACAACGATCGCTATATGTATCGACATCGTCAAGTCTATGCGGATATTAGACGTTAACCGGACTTTATATAGACTATATAGGCGAACTATATAGGTTATATATACGATATAGTCCATATAGATACTCTATATAGACTATATCGTGACACTATATGGGCTGTATACTTTTATGATACGGTATATACAGATACACTACATACACTATATAGTGTCATTATATACACTATATAGCCTACTTTAGTTGATTTGTTAGATCGGAAAAGAATGTGACAGTTCAACTGCCAGAATGGACAAACCACGGAAATTTAGATAACTTTTCAAAATAAAATTAAAGAGGGTAATACTGTATTGAGATTGTTTCACGTTTAGTACTACCAAATAGAATAGGAGGTACAACGAATATTGACATGACATGTTAATATAAAGGCTTATAAATTTGACAGGACATGTCCATCAAAATGACCAGTTTACTGTCCTGTCCTGTCAAAAATCAATTGCTTCTCACCAAGTCCATTCATTTCTCAATTTCCCACTCGTGGAACACGAAGTATCCGGACCATCCATCCGGATATTTGCGACCTTTGACCAGGCCTCATAACAGGTGCGAAATCCCAGTTTTAACAAAAATAAGCTAAAATTGGGATTTCGCCGAAAAAACTCACTATTTCTGGGATTTTTGTCCAAATAGTCAGAAATGTTGTTTTATTGTCTTATTATCGGGGTCAAAAATCATCCTCCTTGGCCAGCTCGTCTTCGGCGCGGAACATCAGGCCGCCAATGATATCGTCAACAATCGTAGGCGGGTGAGGGAAATGGTCATATTAGAACGAACTCCATCAAGCTGATGCCTATAATTGAAATGCTACACGATCGGATCAGTTCATACTTCACCTGGTTGACAGAAACCTTCGTCGTCGCATCTTCGCTGGCGATTTGGTCGTCAACCTTGCTCCATGGAAGCGCACTTCTTCGAAACAAGAAACCGCTTCGTGGATATTATACACACAGGGCTATTAATAATTGCTGTATGTACACTGTACCTATACAAACTAAAGGATATAGTCCATATAGATACACTATATACTTATGTTGATTTGTCAGATCGGAAAATAGAAATCCCTCTAATTAAATACTTTGGTGTATCATTGTAGAGAGAATACTGTCCACATACATAACTTTCAAAACAAGTATATATCAGATTTTAGAGAATTAGCGACAGCATCTCACCGGCGTGCAACAGGCATACCTCGTGTGAAAAACATTCCTCGCAATGGCCCAGCAAAACATCAACGAGTGTTTACCTCGTATACAAGAAGCTGCATATTCTCAAATGGCTACAAAACAACACAATGGAATCAACGTTGGACACGTTCTACAAAGGATTCACTGGTATCGCTCGCCAAACATCATCGAAGAAGATTCTGTATTGGTGCAGCCAGATTGATTTCATAACAAGTGTTGCGAGGCGTCCATCGCATCAAACCGTACGATTCGTGCCATCGGGACTATGCGGCCGAAGAAAACATCGCGAGCCCGCTACGCGCTGACGGTGTACCTGTTAGTCGACTGCTCCTGTCCTGCAAGGCCTTAGAAATCGCTAAAGACCTTGGCCTCTCAGCCGCTCAATTCAAGGCTAGTCCATCATGGGTTGCAGGCTTTTTCCATCGCTGGGGAATGTCTATGCGTGCGAAAACTCTTTCGGGGCAATTAAACCTCGAAGAAGGCGAAGCTGCGCTCGATGAGTTTGCAAGTCACGTCAAAACTATTATTGAATGACATGGGATCGAAGGCATTTACAACGCTGGCCAAACCGGGATAAATTACGAGGATTTACCCAAAGAAACAATCAACTCTAAGGGCTCCAAGACCGATTGGATCAAATGCTGCGCTGGCCACGAAAACGATTGCATGACCGCAATGGTTCTTCCAGACTCAAAGGGCACAAAGTACCCTCTGTTTCTTGTCCTAAAGTCGCAGAAGTCCAAGATTAAAGAAGTCGTCGAAGACAATGTTACCCATCGAAATGGCTTTGGACGACAAGTGTGGCAAGACATCGAAGAACTGCATGAGCGGCACCTTTCCCGCATCTTTGGCAACCCTACGGCATGGTGGAACAGTACGATTTCAATTGCGTTCTTGACGTACCACTTCGGACACCGCCAAGGCCAAAACGTCAAGAAAATCCTTTTGCTCTGGGACGATTTCAGTGCACACTTCACTGATGACGACGTGGCCTACGCGAACAAGGTCAATGTCGTGCTGGCAAAAATACCTCGAATATTCACCTGGATCTGTCAATCGGCGGATGTGGCTTGGATGAAGGCCCAAAAGGCGTACTTTCGTCGTCAGTGGGTCAATCACTTGCGAAATGAAATCGACAAATTTCAAAGATTCGCAAGGTACCTTCAAGCTCCGACCGCCCGATCGCTTAGAACTCGTTGAGTGGGTCAACGATGCATGGGACAGCCTTTCGAAGAAGACAATTGTCAGTGGATTTAAAAAATGCAAGATCATCGAAGCAACTCACCCTCAAACGACCGAGCACGTTGAAGGCCGTCACGGCCATGACCACGATGGCCACGACCAACAAGGCAACGATAACCATCTCAACGGTTCGACAAGTGACGACATCGTCAACACGGCAAACGCTCTCGAATCCATCCTACAAATGGGTGTTGAGAACATCGAAACCATGGACTTGAATGACGACGACGACGAACTACCCTTGGCGTATTGGACAATAACGCCGTTGGCAGCGCGTGTGTAGATACATGATGGCTCTCTACCACAAATAGAAGTTGTCAGTGTTTGGAGATTCTGTCGTTCTTACCCGTCATTGCAACCATCGCCAAGTTATCCAACTTTGTTAATCATACTCCGGAGTATTAGCTTCCACATATAACGTCACGTAATATCGCTTTAAAGTCTTGTTTCAAAAAATTCAACTCATGCCATGATAAAAGTAATGAAGCGGTTTCTTGTTTCGAAGAAGTGCGCTTCCATGGAGCAAGGTTGACGACCAAATCGCCAGCGAAGATGCGACGACGAAGGTTTCTGTCAACCAGGTGAAGTATGAACTGATCCGATCGTGTAGCATTTCAATTATGTGTAGGCATCAGCTTGATGGAGTTCGTTCTAATATGACCATTTCCCTCACCCGCCTACGATTGTTGATGATATCATTGGCGGCCTGATGTTCCGCGCCGAAGACGAGCTGGCCAAGGAGGATGATTTTTGACCCCGATAATAAGACAATAAAACAACATTTCTGACTATTTGGACAAAAATCCCAGAAATAGTGAGTTTTTTCGGCGAAATCCCAATTTTAGCTTATTTTTGTTAAAACTGGGATTTCGCACCTGTTATGAGGCCTGGTCAAAGGTCGCAAATATCCGGATGGATGGTCCGGATACTTCGTGTTCCACGAGTGGGAAATTGAGAAATGAATGGACTTGGTGAGAAGCAATTGATTTTTGACAGGACAGGACAGTAAACTGGTCATTTTGATGGACATGTCCTGTCAAATTTATAAGCCTTTATATTAACATGTCATGTCAATATTCGTTGTACCTCCTATTCTATTTGGTAGTACTAAACGTGAAACAATCTCAATACAGTATTACCCTCTTTAATTTTATTTTGAAAAGTTATCTAAATTTCCGTGGTTTGTCCATTCTGGCAGTTGAACTGTCACATTCTTTTCCGATCTAACAAATCAACTAAAGTAGGCTATATAGTGTATATAATGACACTATATAGTGTATGTAGTGTATCTGTATATACCGTATCATAAAAGTATACAGCCCATATAGTGTCACGATATAGTCTATATAGAGTATCTATATGGACTATATCGTATATATAACCTATATAGTTCGCCTATATAGTCTATATAAAGTCCGGTTAACGTCTAATATCCGCATAGACTTGACGATGTCGATACATATAGCGATCGTTGTCCACGAGCGACTCGCCAGTATGCACGTCGACGACGCACACTTCGTTGCGGCCATCCAACGCAACCTGCCACAAATACCACAGCCGCGTGCCGTCTGAACTCCACTGAGGCTCTACATGCTCATTGAGCACCTTGCCTTGGAGGAGGTTTGGCAGCGACGCCGCCCGTGCGTAGTCGGCAGCCGACCCAGTCCATCGTCCAGGTTCCATGATGACACCCCCACGGATTCAGGTATCCCGATGTATTGTTCTTTTTGATGAAATTGAGCTGATTCGAGAATCGGCTTGACATAGTAGTGTACTACTCTGGTCCGTTATGTTTGTACCATGTTTTAGACTTGATTAAAGTATGCAATTTCGAAAATTTTCGGATTATTCCTCTTTAACTCGATAGTATTATGAAGGACATATTAATTATCCAAGGTTTATACCCCAAAATAGGCCAACGAAGGTGGTCGCCGCATACTGAGGCAATGCGAGTGCTGTGGATGCGCCTAGACTCAAGATACGGGTATGCCGTCAATGAATTGCATTATAGTGCAATGCGCACTCAAAGTTTTTCTATAGCATTCTCCTGGAGGATTTTGTGCATGCTGCAACTATCATCGTCGCCAGACCTTGCATCAGTCCTCAAGACTACACAACAAACGTACCAGGCTCCTCAGCAGTGTTAAGAACTGTTAAGACACCAATTAAGGGCTTTAAGCTTTGAGTGCACGTGATAACAACGATTTTGATTGACTGGCGGGTCGGTTTATGCTGAAAAAAATGACGTGGCGCACTTGGCGAGCGATATCTCAACGATGTGTTGGGATTAAAACTTCTTGAACTGGCCAATCAAAGACGAGATAGCCTTCGTTCTTTTGCATCGATTTGATTAAGCATCGAAGTAGCCTTAAAATCCGTCGCCCCCTATAGTCGTCACTGGAGTGGCAGGGCGAAGCGTCGGCTGCGAGTCGCTGAAGTTTGTGCTACTTAACTATGTAAATATCCGCGCAGTTCCAAATCAATTGCCGGTCCAACGGATCCAAGCTCGGGTTGTTGCCTGCAATGTAAAACCACCGCAGGAAGCAGTGCGAGTCGGCCGTACTGTCCAAGCAATTCGTCGCTGTGAAATGACTTGGTGTGTATGTAGTCTCCATGTCCGCAGGAGCCAGATACACTTGGCAAAATGGCCGGAATGCCACGCTTTTGATGGCATATTTCGCAAATGCCACCACATACCCTGTAGAGAAATCTAGTAGACTCGTGTTTTACGGTAACGTTACAACTAGTATTGATGAAGCTAGCATAAGCTCATTCAAAACGACACGCACAAAGTAATCGCATTTAATCACACCACACAAACGAAGGAAAGAGTTGGCAGTCGGACTTGGCATACGGCAGCACTTGTTGCGTGAGTGGCCAGAAGCAGACGTTGCGGTTGCCATTGCACTGGTTGGACGGCGGGGGGGTCGTCGTGGGGGTAACGATGGGTTTGGTCGTGGTAGGCGCGGGGGTCACGATGGGCTTGGTCGTGGTAGGCGCGGGGGTCACGATGGGCTTGGTCGTGGTTGGGGTAGATGTGGTGACGGTCTTGGTCGTGGTTGGCGACGTAGAGGGGGGGGTCTTGGTGGTCACAGGCTTGGGCCACGGAGTGCTTGGGGGGAAGGCACTGGTCTGGCAGGACAAGTTATCGCCTGGGGCTACGCCGAGCAAGTTGGCAAACTTGATGTAATTGGCGATGCGGGACTTCTCCGACTCCTTGTTGGCCGGGTTCGGGCCACATTCCAAGCCCCCGTTGATAATGTACGTGGTGTACGCAAACCCCCCCGGTTGTCCCACCACGTCGTGGATGTTGCCGTTCCACTTGTCCACGTTCCAGAACCAGTACGCGCTCCACCACACTAGC